CTAGAGCAACATTAGCATGAAAAGTACAGTGCTAAACAATAACAAAGATAGTAATACAAGAATTATTCTAGAATGGAAAACATTTCAAGGGTAAATGCTAGTAAAAATCGGGCAAGGGGTAGTGCTGATCTTGGGTGAAAATCAAGTGTAACAATACATAGCAAAAAATATAAACAATATTTTCCTTAGTAAATTTGTAATAACAAATATTAAACTGAAATTAATAATCAAATCTATTTATTTTCAGAACAAAAATTCTAGAAAATCAACCCTTTATCAAAATCAAGCTTTACAAAAATACTGTAAATCCAATTTTATAAAAACAATCTTTGCTTATGTTGTGAAATTCAACTAGAAATTTAGACCACTTGTTTATATTAAGAAAAAAATTTTTTTTGACTTATATGAAACTAAATAACTTCTCATTATTAATTTATCTAAAAATATATTTCTTAATCTATCTTTAAGAAAGTTTATAATCCTCTTCAATATCTTTTTAAAAAAAAAGGAAATCTCAAATTACCAATCTCAGATTTTAATAAATCTTTAATATTTTCTGTTAATTTTTATATCTTTCTAAAAACTATTACTCAGACACCCAATCAACCTATTTTCGATTACAACATCAACTTGCTATCATCAGCTAGTATAAAATAGAAACCCAATAATAATATTAATTATAATCAGCAAAGATGATTTGTTTGTTTAGATAACGGAATCTTTTTTCTAGAAATATGGTATGACAAAAAATTGAAAATTGCTATTTCTAAAAGAGCACAAAAAATTATGGAGTTTGTTTATAAGTTTAATATTCAGATAAAACTATAACCCCAATTAATTAATTGGCTTGCCAAGTATTTGACAGATAAGATTCGCTCCAACTTATACAAAAATATAAAAAGAAACAGATATAAACCATGGAAGCACATGCATAAAAGCCAACCTTCTCATGAATTCGAAACTAGTATCCTATTTATTTTTTTCTAAGCAATGTGAAGAAAATTTGTGTTAGAGCATTTTTAGAGGGATTGATAATTATAATTTTGCATTAGTGTAACCGTGGGAATCATGCTCTATTTGTGATGACAACAAACTCAAGTTCGCGTGATGTCAGACTTTTTATTGATATATTCATCTGTGCGACAATAAATTTCTAATATAGACCACCTGCGCCACGTTTTTTCCTGATACAATAAAAATGTCTACTGATACTATCAAACTTTTCTGCCTGTTTCAAGGAAACACGGTTTCTCAGGCCTTTCCGTTGAAAATCAACAAATATGAGAGTATTGGTCAACTTAAAGAAGTTATTAAGAAGAAAAAAACGCCCGAGCTTAATTTCTTTGCTGTAGATCGAATTTTGTTATGGAAGGTTCAAATTCGAGGTGATAATGACGAGGAACTTAATAAACTTAAACTTCGTAAAGAGGATCAACTTCTTCCAGTGAGGAAAATTAGTAGCTACTTCACTGAAAAGCCATCTGAAGGGTATATTCACCTCATTGTCAAACCACTCACACCACATATTAGATTTGATTTTGTATGCAAGATGAGACTTTTGAATGAAGGAGATGATGTAGAATATCTAGAAAAAAACCTTTATTATAAAGCAACGTTACATGGAGGTTATCTATGCGATAAAGATAGAAAATATCATACATTTATGGAGTTTATACGAGCAGCGAAAAAATTAAAGCCAAGTGATCAACCTTCCTCTTGTTTTTTTTATAATTTGAAAATTAACGGTATGACTTATACGGAAGTTCGCGATAAAATCTATAAGCTGATTTTTTGTGAAGGTAATTTCTTTAAATTTATCGTTTTTAATCGAAAATAAGTCTTACTTTGGCGCTCAAATTAAATTTTCTTAATAGATGATGATACATCCCTCGAGAAATCCACAGAACTTCCAGTTACAAATACCATTGAAACGGTTCCTTGGAGTGATAGTCTCGAGAGTCGCCTCTGCCAGCTGTATGCGAGGAACAACATTGTGGACATATTCTGGGGTCTAAACCTTAAAGAAGACGATGCAACTTGGTGTGTTTACGTTGTTACTCGCAATCTCCTACGTCAATGCGAAAAAATAGAGAAGATCGGAGATCAAGTAATTAATTTCATAGCAGTAGAAGAAGGGTTTGCCAGTGCCGAAATTCCACCACAAAGTCCCCATGATCCGCTGCCAACCTGGAAGAAGACCCCGAAAAAATTACAAAAGGCTTTTGATGAAGCATTAGACAATGAACTGGGCCCATCGTTCCGTAAGATGCATTATAATTTGGTCGGAATGAGCACTGGCTATAAGCGAACTCAAGGCAAGTTTACTGAAATCTCCGCTATCCTATTATACGTTCGCCAGAAGGGGATTCTGCGTCGTGGATGTGTCAAGTTCCCTGATGAGATTCGTGGATATCCAACAGATATTGTTGAGGCATGCGTTGCAACTCCCTATGGTTTTGGTGCAAGTGCTTGCCAATCTTATCAGGAAAAGGTTATGTTAGGGTCGAGTATAGGAATAATTGAATCTCAGGGGACTTCTGGAACTCTCAGTGCTGTCGTATATGATAAAAACCCAAGAAAGATTGGCATCCTCTCATGTGAGCATGTATGTAGGTTTAATAATTCTAGCGCTGGAAAGGGTGTTATAATTTACCAGCCCTCGCATAGAGATATAGATGGTTTGAAGGAGTCATTTGTTGAAATGGCAAGAGTAAATAAAGCGTACACAAAATTTTCAGAAGAAATGTGTACCAAAATCGAAGAGGATAGAAAGAAATCAGCTCTAGCGTTTTATGAGCGTGGTATCCGAGGCAACTTTTTTTCTAAAATACATAATAGGTATTTTGGCATCGATGCTGCATTTTGTATTGCCAGTAGCATCAATCGTACATTATGTCCAAACAAATTTTCAATTTCCCAAGAGGACTTCAAAAAAGCAAAGCTTTCCGAAGACACTTATCTAAAAGACTTTTACGAATTGGAAGAATTGGAAGATGTTGTTGACATCGATGTCTTTAAAGTAGGAAAGGCTACTGGTCTTACTTTTGGAAAATTAGTCCCTATTTATTCTGCTGTTTCCATTGATCTGAGACACAACATTGAATCCGTAAAAAAAAATGGAGAAATTCCCTCTTATAGTAAAGACGTGGACAAAAGAATATTTGCTGATTACATGAAGACGCCCTTGGTCGAAAAAATTAATGAAATGCGGCAGCAATGTTATCCTACAGTGTGGTTTGATCGACAATTGATATTCGACTTCAAACATGGAGACTTCGTACCCGGAGACTCAGGAGCAAGTGTTGTGGACAAAGAAGGAAAGGCTCTTGGTATCCTCCATGCGGCATGGATAACAGAAAATTCCAGTTACGCCATTGCTTCTCCTTACTTTGCTGTTTTTGAAGCATTGGACGTGGAAAGTCTAGATCGAAGTAAATCGCATACTGCATCTTAATTAGTCATTGTGTATACTATATAATTCAATATAGATCTCACAAGTCCGAAAAATTTCCATGACTCTTTTTTTCTTGTCATGTGGTTTTACTCATACATATTAAAACTAAAAATACGAAATACACATTTATCACATAGCAGAGCTAGTAGCAGAAATTTATTACCAAAAATAAGGGACAGGGTGGCTGTTCCCTTACCTTATACGATTCACCTACGGCATTATACGTCACCCGTGCGTCGCCTGTGCAGCACATGGATCGTGAGAAATGTAGACATGCGATTTTATTACTGATTGTCACGTAGTCAAAACTCGCGAAAATTGGTAAAATAACCGCGAACTGTATTAATGTGTCAGAGAATTGGCATCACTAAAATCTAATACAGTACGAGTTAAAATCATGTATATTACTAGGTAAATGGGAACCATTTAAAGTCCAAAGGACTATCAGTAACACATACAACATCCCCTATTTATACATTCCTTGGTTCATTTATCGTTTATACAGTAAATACATCGCACTACCATAACTATCGATCTTTATCATGCCAATGATTTTTGTCGTGATGCGAAAATACATCATGTAATCGTGACCCAAAAACTCAGTTCCTAATTGTTTGAAGGACATTAATTGTATTAACTGTAAATGAGTTACACTGTATAATAAAAAACTCCATTAAATTTGATACTGTATGCCGCTATCACTTACAGTATGTATCACGTGATCGGAAGGTACACACATCCGGATCACTATTGCAGTACATTAGAGTATCCTTCGGACAATTACAGAGCGATCGGCGAATCAGTCGCTACGTCGAGTCTCAGCTCGCGTAGCGTCCCACGAAAGACCAATAATCTAAAGGCTTTAACTCCTGAGGCGGTTTCGACTTGGCCGGCATAACTTCGTCCAATCTGCAAACTACTCGTGAATCCCGCGTCCTGCAAATCGCTTAAACGAACCTGATTCTGTCTTGTTTGCGTGATGCAAGTTACAATGATGCACGTATCAAACAGTTACTCAACAAGTTTAGGCTTTTGATTGTATCTTTATTATTTCTTTGGGGTATGCGTCCAGTACAAGAACATCAACTCTTATCTAAGTTTATTTAGTCTGTTTATTGTTGATCACTTTATCTATTTTATTTAAGATCTGTGACTATACACTTACCCGTTTAACCGATAACAATATAAATAAATAATATTTATTTGTAAAATAGTATTAAAATAAAAATAGTATTGTTAAAAAAATCTTTACTTTTTTTTTTCTACTCCAAATCAGACTGCATATTTATTATGTTTATTAATCCTATACAGAAGATGCTTATACATATGTATTATAAATACTATATAAGGCCAAACTTATTGGTATTATGCAGCACACCTGTCATAAGCCTAAGTCCTCTAGGTGTGATTATGGGAAATGAAAATATTGCTCAATTCAATTCTAATACTTTTCACCAGTCTAAAACATTACAGTCAATTCTCATTCAGGATTGTCATCCCTTCATAATCACTGTAATCCTATGAAGGTAAAAAAAATTTTTTTTTTTAAAGAAAAAGTGTAAAATAAAAAAAGTATTCGAAAAGTTTGTTCTGATAAATAAAACTCTTCCAAATCAATCAGTCTATCAAGATAAATCCTTTACTATAATTTGTAGCTAGACAAATCATTTAATTTTCACAATTATATTACTAATCAAAAACATTCAAAGTACTTATAACAAGATTTATTAATGCTTGAAACAAGACTTATGATTGCTTGAAACAAGTTTTAAACCTATTGAAAATTATTGCTTGAGATAATTCTTACTTATACTTAATGTTTTCTTGAAATAATCAACAATAAAAAAAGCTTTTTACTGAATTAAAATAAGACTTTTTGATCTTGAAAAAAAAAATCAGAACAAAAGAAATGAAAGAAATAATTAAACTACTTCTATTCAAAAAAGATATTATGATACCTAGCTCTTTTGCTTTTTCTGATTACATTATTATTGTTGTGTTATGTAATAAAAAACATGTAAGAAGTATATATCTTGTTTACTTTTTTGCCATGTGCTAATCAATCAATCTATAATCTCAACTAATTATTAACTGGAAAATATATTTACTAATAGACTATTCTAGAACTCCAGATTTTGAAAAAAAATAAAGAAAAGTATTTTTTATACAGGTTTTTTTTTTTTAGCAAAATGTTCTTGTTATAAACCAAATAAATAAGTTTTAAATATTTTGTTATTGAAATATTCAAAAAGTTTTTAAAAAAAAAATAAACAAATAAAAGAGGCTTTTGTTTTCAAAAATATATGTTATATTAAAATTTTATTATTAAAAAATAAAAAAATTTTCAAGAATATCTGTTTTTTGAAATAACAAAAAAATTATCAAGAAAAGTTTTTTTTAATAAAAAATTTTCACTAAAAATTAAAATTTTATAAATAATTATAAACAATTATAATTTTTAATTAAAAAAAATTTTTTTTATTATACTTGAAAATTTGTTTTTAAAAAACTATTAAGTTATTTATTTATTTATTTATTTATTTTCTTTCTTTTTTTATTTTTTATTTTTGATATTTTTTTTATTTTTTTTTTTTTAAATAAATCTTTATATGTATATTTTTTACTTTTTTTCTTGTTAAAATTAGATTTTTTTTCTTTTCAAAGTTTTTTTTCTTAGAGATTATATTAGAAATAACAATCTTTTTTAAAATATAAACTTTGAAAAACTTCTTTTATAATTTTATTAAAATAAATAAATAAATTATTCATTTTTTTCTATAAATAAATTATTCATTTTTTTCTATAAATAAATTTTCTTTATTTATTTGTATATTACAAGGTATATATTTAAAAAAAAACAATATCCCTTGAATGTAAAACATACAACTAGTTAAATACTAACCTATTTATAGTACTATAAATAACCAAAATTGAAAAAAAAATTTTAAAACAAAATTGTTACTATATATAGATCAAGTAGTTACTTAAAAAATATGTTTAGAATATAAAAAAAATTTGAAAAAAATAAAATAATTAAAACTAAAACAAAATTAAATAAATTATAAAATCTATGAAAAAAAATTTATATTTTTAAGAGAATTTCTGATCTGACTTGTTGTTTTATATAAAGATTCTAATAATTTTTTTTGATTCTATACTTGATTCTCAGGTTTATATTAAATTTAATAAGTGAAATATTTTTTACTATCATTTTTAATAGTGTTTCAAATCCTATACAAGTCTATACAGTTTTATTTTATTTTTCAAAACTATAGTCTTATTTCTTTGGTTCTTTTTAACTTATAAGTATAATTTTTGTTATTATAAATAATAAAGTACATATAATTTGAGAAGGTTTGATTTTTTTAGTTAAAAAACAGTTCTCCAAAAAAAAATTATTATTTAATAAAAATTGTATTTTAATAAGAAATGGAAATGGAAAAAACTCCAAGAAAGATTTATAGAGAAGTATTTGTTACAAGTCTTTTTTTATACAATTCAAAGAAAAAACAAAGTCCTTAAACTTGTTTTTCTTTAGTTATAGATTTTATTCTAATATGTTAATATATTTTTTTAGATTTTTTAAGATTTTTGTAATAAATATAAAAGAAATATAAAAAAATTTTTAATACTAAAAAACAAAAATAAAAAACTGTTTCTTTAATTTTAAAAAAATTATTATAAAATAAAATTCTAAGAAAAATATTATACAGTGTGTTAAGAAAAAAATTGCAATTATATTTTTATTCATAACTTAATAAAGAATTGATAAAAATTAATAAATATATGGTTAAATACTATATAAATAACTTTACTTAATACTATTTTAATTAATATAATAATATATTTTTTGAAAATAATTGAATTTTTATAATAAAAAATTTTATTCATTTTTATATATAAAAAATGTGGTCGGAAATAAGCAAAAAAATTTTTTATTTTTTTTAAAAATTTTTATAAAAATGTAAAAATATTATATAAATATTTATGATCATTTTTAATATATATATATATA